GAGAGAGAGACATCGATCAGTTACCTTTCATTTGTACCCCAACTGGGCACTGAACCCACAACCTAAGTATGCGCCCTGACCAGGAATCGAACCCACAACCTATTAATGTCTGGGATGACACTCTAGACAACTGAGCCACACTGTCTGGTGCTGACCCAATGCTTTTTGCAGAGGCGAAGTGAAGCAGAGGAGTCTGAAAATGCTTTTGCAGAGGGTCAGGTCCAAAGAGACAGAGAAAAGAAGAGGCTGGGCCACTTACATCATTCCTTCTTCATTGAGAAACTGGGAGAGTGCAGAGGGAAGGCCTGGAGTTCCCTTTCCAGGCTGTTGCCTCCAGGAGGAAGGATCAGAGGTTTTCTATTCCATGAGTCAATGTAAGAACAGGGGGAGAAGAAGAAAATGCTACTAAGGAGGAGTAGAATTATTCCTTAAAAAGTGATAATTGGTTTTTAAATTATTTTTAAACTAATTATCTTTCATTTTTTTAAATTTATTGATTTGAGAGAGAGAGAGAGAGAAAGACAGAGAGAGAAAAAGAAACATCAGCTTATTTCATTTATTTATGCACTTATACGTGCCTTAACCAGATATTGAACCTGCAACCTTGGCATATCAGGACAATGTTCTAACCAACTGAGCTATCAGCTGGGACAAAAGTGATAATAATTGTTAACACACACAATACAGAAGAAATAAGTCATGCAAAAAACCAAGGCACCATCTTTTCAGACAAATTTTACAAGGTTAATATAGATACTGAGGCCTATTTACACATTGGTCTTCTTTTTCTCTTTCTGATCAACTCTTTCTTCCAATCACGTTTCCTCTGTCTTTCTTCCACCATTAGTTATCAGGGCTTCATTGTCATGGCCACAGCTCTAAACTGTCATGGGTTACATCTGATGAGCAGGAATGTAGTCACATGACCATACTTAACTGCACTGGAGGCTGGGAATTACATTTTCTATCTGGGTACCCATGTGCCCTTCCAAAACTGTGGTGGAGGTGGTGTTTTTTACTAAAAGGAATTAGAAAAAGCATGCCAAGACAGTCACAAAGATTTTTGATAATCTCATAGAAAGCCACATGTCCTACATTAAAATAAAATGTACATTTTATTGTGACCTAAAATTCTGGTCATTACATTTACTTTTAAGTCTCTTTAGTATGATATGGCTGAAGGTAAGTTTCAATTTTAAATGAACTCGATGATAAATACTGGGTATATCTTTTTAAAAAAAAATTTTTTTTCTTTATTGAATTTTTAGAGAGAGAGGAAGGAAGAGGGAGAGAGAGATAGAAATATCAATGAGAGAGAACATCGATTGGCTTCCTCCTGCATGACCCCACTAGGGACCGGGCCCACAACCTGGGCATGTGCCCTGACTGGGAATTGAACTGGTGACCTCTTGGTGCATGGGTCGATGCTCAACCACTGAGCCACACTGGCCGGGAGTACTGGTTTATCTTATTTCAGCCTTATGTAAATAGTTTTAAGATTTTTCTACCTACATATACTACAGATTTTAGTGTTCATCCTTACAGTTACCATGAAGTTTTCCTTATCCTTTCTTTACTCACATGCATTCTAATACTTACATTTACTTTTTAATAGCTTTAATTTTTTTGTCATCTAATATTGATTTGACTGTAATATGGCAAAGGGTAAGTAAATATTTTGATATCTCCAAAAAAAGAAAAATAACATGCACAGCTTAAATAATGATCTGAACTCAGGTCAGTGTAAATATTTTTGGATCATCCTTAAACTGGAGGTGCCCAGAAACCTGGGTTGACTCTTGGACCACTCTTGGTCTTCTTTATTGTGCAACTGAAAACCCGTTTTAACTTTGTGCGTTAGCATGCAATATGGAGTTTTGTGCAGTTATTTTCACAGGTTAGATGCTCAATAAATATTGGTTGGATAATTCAATTCTGTCAAGCAGAGCTCACTAGAAATAGCTAGTACTTTGGACCAAGGGTAATCTGAATCAGTGTTAGGTCATCTTTCTTAACCAAAAAAAAGTTTGGTATTTTTGGTTTATTTAATAATGAGAATAATAGCCTATGTTAACTAAGTAAATATAGAAAAGAATTATAGAAATTTCATACATTGTTGTACAAGATTTCTCCTTCCTTTAAACAGCATTAAAGATGAGAAGCAACTAGCACAGTGCCTGGAATAATAGCATCTCAATAAATAGTAGTCACAGTTAATTACCTTTTATGTTGGTCACAGGACAAAAAAGTAGTCAGTTTTCCACCAATATATAGCAAAACATTCCATAGCTTTCTGGCAGTCATTCTTTATTGTAATAGGGATCAAATTCACTGTTACAATGTGAAAAGAAAGTCCAGTTTGAAAACCGCAAGAAAAGCTGGTTTGAGAAATACTCTCTTTATACAAACTTAGCATACGAAAAGATCCAATAATTACAGCACATCTCCCCAGATTTTACTCTATTCGTGAAATATCCCAGGGAACTCAACAAGCTTTTAGGGGAATTTAGAGGTGTTGGAGTTCAAAAGATGTATATGAAGAGTATTTTTTATCCAGTTGTTTCTCTGGCATAGTTCCAGTGGTAATAGATCAGGATATTCCTGACCGCACCCCCCCACCCAACAGGACACCAAAATGTGATAGAAGCTGCCTGTGCTTTCTGTCCCTGATTGATTGATATAGAAAAAAAATCTTAATTATTTGGAAATGCTATGCCAGTTTTACTCTTAAAAAAAAAGAAATAATTCTAGCCTTCATGTTTTTTCAACCTGCTTTTCCTAAGTCCTTTCTCTTAGTATTTCCTCCTTCTTTACTTCCCAAATTTTATTTAGACTCCAGTTAATCATAGTAATTTTTTAAAGCTATAATATTCTTTTGGCACATTGAGGCTATCACTATTTAACTTTCTGGTTTCTTTACTTTAATAGAATTTAGTTTTAAATTCCTTTTCTATCTGACTGATGTTTCCCCAAAGGGTTCCAGATACTGGATGTAAATTTTGGCATCTCAAGATGACTCCTAAATATTAGAAAACTCTAACAGGGGGGAAGTTGTCTACTACCTTTTCATTTTTTTGGTAATTGAGGAGTTAATTTTCTTTAAAATCAATTTTTTAAAATTTATCATCAGCAACATTAATCTATATTTATTTATAAGCTACTTTGAAATCCCATGCAGTAGTTTTAATTTTTTTAATTAAAATCGAGCTTCTAAATATATATTTTATGTCACTTTTTCTATAAAAAATGAAAGTAAGGGGAAATAATTTTAATTCATTTACCTAACAAGAGTGAGAGTGGTCAATTTTAGTTTTCCAAACTCCTCAGTTCACAGATATGATGCAATGTTAACATGTACTAATGTGGAGTGGTGAGTACACTGGAGCTTGTTATTTATTCTTTGTAACAGTTTTTTACTATTTTTGTACATAGCATTGTTTCCCCAAATAAGATAAAATAAAATAACAGCTCTGTCCTAAATCTTTTGATTTTTCTGGGAAAGTAGGGAGCTGGTTTATATCTTGATGAAATAGAAAATGTACCCATTTTGTTCATATAGATTGTGGTGACTGGTGACAAGGTTGTATATTAGTGTAGATTAGAAAAGAATAGGGTGAATTTAATGTTCAATTAATGGTTACAGAAACGAGCAATGCATTAGGGTGTGATTTAAGCAGAGGGCTTGCTGTACAAAAAATTATTTGATGATAATGAATTGTCTGTCTAGAAAAGGCATAAATTTTCCCTGTGCATATGACTTTCCCTACCAAAATATATTTTGCTACCTAGATTTTAGTGGTTGCCCTTTTAACAGGCTGTTCCTGCAAGTACATATTTGTCATACGCCTAGCTTATATTTTCCAAACAGTACTTTAAGTAGGATTCCAATAATATGAACTAAAACAACTTGAGTTTTCCTTAATGGTGTAGATGCTGCTTTTGAAAATATAAGGTGGATCTAATGTTGGCGGTGAAGAGTGGTATTAAATCACTGTTTCTCTTTAACCTCCCCCTTCCTCCCCCAGTATGTTTTAAGGTTTACTAATTATAATTGTTAAGTTTTCTTTTGCAAATCCACTTTTAACATAAGGCTCTGTTAGATGGCTCCAAGAGCAATCAGCAAGCCAGCTCGTGCTGGGCAGAGAGGGGAGAGGGTCCAGAGCTGGGGCCAGGGGCTGGCGATGGGGGACTTCAAGAGGGGAACCAGCGGAGAGACTGCAGTGACACTGCCCTCCCCGGGCGGGTTGAAGCATCTCACTGGTGACGGGTCTGAAAGCACGTGGCTACGTCATGGAAAGCCAGTCTTTTCAATGCAAACTTCAACTCCTCCTCCTCCTCCCTCTAATGCCTGTAACTCACATCCGAGGCTGGGCGAGGAATCCGGAGGGGAGATTTTCCTCATGCTCACCGTTGTTGGAAACTGGGAGAGTGAGAGGAAGGAGGAAGGGGATCTGTGGCGCTCTCTACCTACTACCGGCCTGACCAGGGGAGGGGGCACCTAGATTTGCATCTTTTCTTCGAGGAGATTGAGAACTGCAGGTTCAATCCGATCCCACTGGGCACTGGCGATTGATTATTTAAAAAATCGACACTGAGAAGGGAGGCTGTGTCTTCGGCTGTCAGACTCGATCTCGGAGGTGGTATTGGTGTGCGAGTGTGTGTGCTGGTGTTTTTTTTTTTTTTTTCTTTTTTCTTTTTTTCTTTCTTTCTTTTTCTTTTTTTCCTTCTCTCCTAGGGGCTACACAATGGCAGTCTTCTCTCACTGAGATGAATCCTGCTTCGCCTTCTGCAGACCCACCCATGCTCATAGCGATCAAGTAAAAGGCTATGGTTTTCTCTTTGGGGATCTTTTGTGCATTACTGTTCTCCCTGATTAGTTCTGATCTCAGTTGGGATTTCTTTGCTTTTTTGTTTGGCTTCATGCTGAAAAAGGATTTTCCCCCCAACCCTTTGGTAATAATCCAGTGGTGATCAAGAGGGATAAATCATTCACCCTGGCCGAAAAAAAACAATCACTGAGAAGTCTCAAAGAAATATACCACGTGAGGGGAAAAAACTGGGAGAAGATTCGGAATATTATCGTTTTTCCTATGGTAAAACCGGTGCCCCTCTTCAGGAGAACTGATTTCAAATTATTATTATGCAACCACAAGGATCTCTTCTTTCTCAGGGTGTCTAAGCTGCTGGATTGCTTTTCGCCCAAATCAATGTGGTTTCTTTGGAACATTTTCAGCAAAGGAACGCATATGCTGCAGTGTCTTTGTGGCAAGAGTCTTAAGAAAAACAAGAACCCAACTGGTAAGCAAAACATGCATCATGTTATGTTTTTCCTCATAATAACCTGTCTGTTGCTCATTGAACTAGATCTGCAGTCCTGCTATGCAGGAAGGCAAGGGAAACAGAAAAGGAACCAGGACAGTGTTGCATGTAGAGGTGTTGCATGGATAAACAAGTAACAGCTGGATCGGCGTCTGTGAGCCAGAAAACCATTATCAGCTTCTCTTGGCTGTGGCACAATCTATCAGTAGGAGGGAGGAGGAAACTTTTTTTTTTTTTTTTTTAATGTATTTGGTTGCCGATGTTTGGTAGAATACTGAAGGACTGTGGCTTCAGGTTTTGCCCGAGGCAGGCGAAGATTCGGTAGTTGCCAGGAAAAAGAATCGCGAGCTCTCCTTACTTCTGCTGCAGGTTCGGGGACGTAGCTCGGTGCCGAGAACCTGCTCTAGACTTTCTGATTAGCTTGCACAATATTTGCCACCCCATCACCTCTACTCAAAGTAAAAGATGCCCCCTCCCTCGCGGCCCCGCTTCTCCGTCAGCCCCCGCCTCCCTCCCCCGTCTGCTCCCGGCACCCGAGTGTTAACTCATTCCCGGGTCTGCCTCTGATACCTCCTGCTACTGGGGATACTAGAGCAGGGCTTATACGGCTGGGGAGGAACTCCAGACCGAGAAGACAAGCTCCGGTCCCCCTATTTTATGTAATTAAACCCCCCTTTAAAAAGTAGTATCACAGCCCCGCGTCCGGATCCCACCGGTGGGATCAAGTAGGCCGTGAGTCCCTGTTTCAGACTCCTGGTGATCTTGCGCCCCCATTCTAAAGGGCTCCAACCGGGAAACTTGCAGTACATTACATAAGAAATGCAAATGCAGGTGATGAGCAGTTGGGTACCCGGGTTCACTTTCAGGTATTTCTGTGTGAGGTGTTTGGGGGCGGCCGCGGAGCTGTAGGAGAGTAGCACAGGGAAGCCAGGCCGGAGGGCTGCGTGGTGGCGGTGGCGCGCCGGCGGGAAGGCTGGGCGCAGCGGGTCCGGGAGAGGTGCGCGCTGGCATAAAGGGTGTGTGGCGTCACCAGTTCGGTTCAGGATGGGGAGGAATCAGGGGTCCAGTGCTTATGTCTGGGGCGGCACTGGGGGTGAGGGTGGAGGCCGGTCCCTCCTTCAATGACCACCCGGGCGCTGGAGGCCACTGAAGCTGGCACTGCGGTGTAGTAGATCATGGCTCCCCACAGCCGCCCTGACATCCTGAACTCCACACCGGGGCCACGCTGGCACCCGATCCCCAGTCGCTGGGAAGCAAGTGATCGCTGCCTCCCTGCCTCCGGAACCTTGCAAATACAGTGTAGCAGGGGCGGCGCGCTCCGAGGGGGCTGAGCCTGCGGGTGCTTGGTGCGAGAGGAGGACGAGGAGGCAGTGTGGGTAGGAGGGGGTGCAGACGGTGGGTGTGGAGGCCGTACACCCTGTGCTGCTCCTACTGCTGCGGCAGAAGGGAAACTGCGAGTTGTTAGACGGTCCCAAAAGGCAGATGCTCCGGTGCTGGGGAAGGTGCCTGGGCAGTTTTGGCCCCAGCTGGGACGTTCGGGAGGTTGTCGAGGCTCTGGGAGTGGTAGCCTCTGGCTGCCCGCGGGCGTGGTGCTGCAGTGGGCTCTACACGCCTGTCCTGGAATTCTCATCCTTGTGCTCCAGCTCTACCCTGTTTCTCTCCGTTCCCCTGTTCCTGCCTCCTCCTATTCCTCCCTGTCCTGTCCTTTTACTGTTCTTTTTCAACTCCTCAAAGTTTAGCAACACTGAAATGATACCACCATTCTGAACATTACCCAAGGAGAAAGCAGTGTTGTCAGGTTGCTATCCACATTTCCAGTTCAGCTGTGAGGTGTACCCCAACCCTGTATCAAGCCCAACACTTGTTGATGCCTTGATCATTCCTAGATTTGCAACACTATCTTACAGGTTAATGTGAACATTCTTTTTGCAAGACTTCCCAAAGTGGGACAAGCCAAGGGCTGTACTTGGGAGGGGAGAGAAGGGGCTACTCCTTCATACAGTAAAAATAGTGGTTTTTGAAGCGGTTGTGTGTCCTCTGAAAAGATTTAGCCCCCATCTGAGAAAGGAATACTGCAAAAGCCTTTTTTTTGGTTTTTGTTCTTTTTTTTTTTAAGACTCAACCATTTGTCGAGGGACCTTGAACTCAGTCCCTCTATAGTACTGGACAGTGGAAAATAATTCAGCACAGAATAGTAAGTTTCCTTACTGGCCTTTATAACTTTTTTTAAATACAGTTTCACTGGAAACACTCATTTCCTCCAACACAAGATGCAAGATCTTTTCATTACACCTTCCTTAGCTCCTCCACTTTCATCTCTCTGGAATAAAGTAGATATTTTTTTCTTCCAAAGTGCTTTGGAAGGTGTCAAACAAATGACAAATTATTTTTAGAGCAATTTATTTAGAAACTTATGAATGCTAAAGTACTTGGGTGTGAATTGATGAGTTAACTCAAAACGTGCTAACAGTGTCACCAACTATTCTATCAGGATAGTTTAGTCTTAGATTGACAAGAGTTAACTTTCCAACCAGGGAGTTGGAGCATTTGTAAATCATTTTAATAATGGAACATTAATGTGTCACACTATCAATCTCACCTTCTAAAAGTTTTTGCTTTTTGAGCTGGAATCAAATTCATGCCTAGTCATTCCCTTTCAGTATTGTAGTTGGCAAGTTCCATTCTCTTTCTGCTATTAACATTAAGCCTAAAATCATTTGCAGGTTTTTGATCCCAAGATAGCAGTACAACTAAGAAGTTAATTGGGTAATTAAAGTAAAACAAAGACTAAAATCCTCTTGACTGTTAAAACCAAAAAGAACAGATTGACTACTACCTATTATGTTATCTTAAATATAAAATGAAGACAATTAACTGGTTTCAAACTAAGAAGCTTGGCAGAATACCACAAAATACTAGTACTAGAATAATGAACTTGGTGCAAAGAATTCTCTCCCCCCCCCCCTTTATTGAATTTAGAGAAAGAGGGAGGGAGAGGAAGAGAAAGATAGAAACATCGACTGGCTGCCTCCTGTATACCCCCACTGGGTATTGGCCCACAACCCAGGCAGGTACCCTGACCGGGAATTGAACTGGCTACCTCTTGGTGCCTGGGTCAACACTCAACTACTGAGACACACTGGCTGGGCAAAGAATTCTTGTTAGATTAATTTTTCTTCCCAATATTTGCAAGTTATAAAACAATATACCAATTATTCCCAATTTTTTAAATTGTCTACTAATACAGGTAGTTTAGTCAAGGGTTACTAGGAGGAATTGATGTGAAAATAAGCAGATAATAGAGTCATGAACTTAAGGGCAAAGTTATTCATTTACCCAAGTTATTAATTAGTATTTTAAATAAGAAGTGTTAATTAAATAGTTTTTATAGTTGTTTTTACATAAAACATGAAGAATATATTTGTACAATATGTCCTTTTATTTTTTTATCCTCACCCGAGGACACTTTTTTGCATTTATTTTCAGATAGAGCAGAAGGGAGAGAGGGAGAAAGAGAGAGAGAGAAACATCGGTGTGAGAGAGACACATCGACTGGTTGCCATCCACGTGACCCCAACCAGGGCCGGGGACAAACTGCAACCGAGGTACGTGACCTTAGCGGGAACCGAACCCGGGCCTCTCCAGTCCACGGGCAGATGCTCTATCTGCTGAGCCAAACCGGCCAGGGTAAACATGTCCTTTAAAAAATAAATGGTAATAGCTTATAAATCCTGAATATATATTTACTATCTTAACAAAAATGAACAAAATCTCACAACACAACTATTATCAGAGAACACACACACACACACACACACACACACACTTCAATGTCCTACTTCCCCTACTTTCCTAGGAAAGCAATGGCTATCTCTTTAGAATAAATGTTACCTGCTTCAATTTTCACTGTGTGTCATGCAAGGTGACTGTATTTCAGGCAAATCACTAAATAGGAATAATAAATCCAAGGTGCTTATTTTGCCTAGAGGAGCACTTGATATGTTTCTTAAACCAGTAATGATAGTTTGGAGTGGTCAATGTGTATCACAGACCAGTTTGAAAAATAATCTGGGTCATTGGACTTCGAGCCACGGCTGCTAAGGAAATAAATGTCACTGCAGAAAAAAATAAAATAAAATAAAAAGTCCACAGTAAAAATAAATACTAAGGTCATGTCATGAATATCTCTTCAGACACATAATACACAACAAGCAAAGGAAGCCACATATTCTTAAATACATACACCCAACTCAACCACACTCACGAGAACCCTAAACATCCATGGGATGATAGGATTTTAGAAAGCACAGGTTTTAAGATAAATTGTAATTGAAGTTAATTTTATTGAATACTAGTGTTAGTGGCGAGGAGGGTAGGAAGCACATGCCCTAGATCTACGTTAGAGAAGATAGAACTCCCCCCCCCCCACTTGAGGCCCTGAGTGTGTCCTTTCCTGAACTCAGTTTCCCTCTCTGCCCTGTAACAAGTAGGGCTTGGTAGAATTTATTGGCATTGTCTATTTCCTACTTGTTTTGGTGTCTTTCCGCTGTGCTTTTGCCTTTCTCTAAGCTGTTTTAGGTGGCAAAAAACCTGGTATGTCCCTGTTACTCATTTAAAAATATGCATTCTTTTAAAGTTATTTCCCTTACATTTAGGGTTGGTATAGTGGTTAGAGGTGAGAAAATAGGGAGAGAGGGAAGAAAAACGAGTAAGCTTTTTTTAATCCTTCTCCTTCTCAGCCTGCCGACTCATCCTGGTTTCCTGTAGAGCTGGGTGAGCCACAAATGGGCCACAAATCTGAATTTCTAAACACTGAGCATGTATCAGATGGAGACATTAAACTCAGACTGCATGGCTGGAACACCATACAGGTGTAAGGTTCTTGTTCTTCTCACATGCTTGTCTTTAGAGTGGGATTTTGTGTGATATGAGTTGGGCTTGAACTCCATCCAGGAAGCTTTAGTTACCAGAGTAGCTAA